TGCACAGACTGGACACAAGGTATCCAGCTGCTGCTGTTCCTCTGAGACGAAAGATGGCGGCTAAAAGACGCCGGTTCTACGCGGGGATTAAGCCGCATATTGATGTTCGTATGTTGAGGGAGAACTGAATGCACTGATGCTCTCGGAGAGCTTCTCTCCTGCACGCTTGACCAAGCAGGCATTTATATTTCCTCTGACCACTTTGCCACAGATAGCGTGTTGGTTCCCCTTTTGTGGTCAAGTGTGTAAGACATGCTGTCCCGGTGCCCGTTACCTCCGTGACAAGTGAGCGAGGTGTCTGCATGGTCACAGCCATGGAAACGCGACGCTCTGCGGGCTGATCGCCGACAGCATTGCACTGTTCTACAAAACGTGACAGCGCTGTGGGCAAACTGCCTGGACGCACGTGACGGGACAGTTTAATACAGCGTGCATGAAGAAGTGCTTGGAAAACAACACGGAAACATTGCATCGTTTCCCTCTGGTCGCTATGGTAACATCCACCCAAAGACTGCTTCCCAGCCGTGGAGTCTTGAGAGCGCTGCACCTGATCTACTTTAGGGATCCTGAAACGGTGCCACAGTTTCAAAGCCTCAGCATCTCTCTTTTCTCCTCACATCTCATCTCCATCTCTTTATCTGTTCTTCTGACGACTGCACCAGAGACATTGATCTTGTCAACGAGGAACTCCGTGACCAGGGCTGTGAAGGAGTTCCTCTTTCACCTTAGTTGTGAGGTTGGTGAGCCTGAGCCAGCGTGCTGCTCCTGGAGAAGCACCAGGCCTGTGGCTCTGCCAGTAGCCACTAATTTGTGGAGGCAGAGGACGTGGTCAGGGAAGATGCAGATTTCTTCACACTGGCGTCTGGTATAGCTGTCATGTCCTCTTCTAGCTCAGCTTGGTCAGCCATTAGCATAGAGGAGGTACTGTGGGCTCTTGTTGACGGAGCAGCTGCTTTGTAGCACTTATCAGTAAGGAAGCCTTCCTTCCAGGGGAGGGACGGGGCTATGAAGATGAAGATGACTTTGGGTAAATGATAGATTGAGCTGCGTGCTTACACATATCTCGCATGTCGAAATCCAGGGGAGACGCCATTGCAGGTTTATCACCTAGCTAGTAGCTGAGCGCTTTGCAGCCCAGCTGATGGTAGCCAGGGAGTTGGAGTCCACCTCCTTGTTGTCAGGCGGCAGGAACTGTGTCGGCCGACTCCTCTTCAGTCTCGTTAAAAATCTCCTCCCTGTTCTCGTAGCATCTCCTCCCATATGAACTCCAGCAGGGGAGAAACCCTCACATCCTCCATGTGGCTCCAACAGGAAAGTGGTAGTGATGGTCTGTGGGTCTCATCTGCACACGCCTGGTGTTGCAGCCAGATCCTCAGGTATCTCCATTTCGCCTTGCTCTGCAGCAGCCACCTGACAGGTTAGCCTGGTGAGCTAACCTACTGTGGAGCAGTTTGTGTGGACAAGCCACGCAGTGGATACGATCACGAGTGGATCTCAAGGCAGCCTGAGCATGCGATAAACCCATGCATGCTCCACACGGGTGTGCATCTCAACCTGAAGCCTTTTTGCATCAAGGATACAGTTCTCTAACTTCCCTTCCATCTTCACTGTAGCTCCTCTGAACAAGTACGTGACTCCGTGGTATAATTCTCAGCCTTAAAAAGCAGATAACTTGGAAGCTGGATGGAAAAGTGAGTCTCACTAATTTAGAAGACCATCATGTAGCCTGGAAGAAGAGTTTGCTGCTCTCTCAGTAAGGGAGAAGAAATTACTCATAACCTTCTCATGAATGTAAAATTATGCACAGCTACTTTGAACAGCATTTATATCAAACGCCTTTCCTCCAGTTGAAGTTTACAGAGATGAGTTTGCTCGTGTGTGCGCTCAGTCATCAGCTGGTTCTCTTTGCTGAAGGAAGCCAACAGACCTGACCTGGGGTCTGCCAGCCTTCCTCTGTCCTTGCTTTGATGATGGTCCTGAGGCTGTTTTCTAAGTGTTTGTTTCTCAGCAGGTCAGTCACTGACAGCCATGGAGATGCTGAGCAAAGCTGCTCTGTCTTATTGCCATTTGGGGAAGAACGAAGGCGCCGCCTGCCGCTCGCTGCTGACACTCTGCAAATGGTTGCTGGCCGACTGGAAGGACATGACGCCTCAGCTCAAACAGGTTTCCTGCTTTTTGGAATATTTGGTGACGAT